CACACTCACATAACCATACTCACAACCACACTCACACACACAACTACACGCACACTCACACACTTCACATTTACACACAACCACGTATCCCATACTCACACATACAAACACACACCCACATTCACACACACACACACATACACACACACAGAGAGAAACAAAGAGAATCCACAGAGAGTTGTGGGTCTCGTGTACTTGTATGTCACTGACATATTGGGAACATTTGTTTTTGCCATTAAAGGGGGATCCATGAGAGGCACGGAGGGGGATCCATGAGAGGCACGGAGGGGGATCCATGAGAGGCACGGAGGGGGATCCATGAGAGGCACGGAGGGGGATCCATGAGAGGCACGGAGGGGGATCCATGAGAGGCACGGAGGGGGATCCATGAGAGGCACGGAGGGGGATCCATGAGAGGCACGGAGGGGGATCCATGAGAGGCACGGAGGGGGATCCATGAGAGGCACGGAGGGGGATCCATGAGAGGCACGGAGGGGGATCCATGAGAGGCACGGAGGGGGATCCATGAGAGGCACGGAGGGGGATCCATGAGAGGCACGGAGGGGGATCCATGAGAGGCACGGAGGGGGATCCATGAGAGGCACGGAGGGGGATCCATGAGAGGCACGGAGGGGGATCCATGAGAGGCACGGAGGGGGATCCATGAGAGGCACGGAGGGGGATCCATGAGAGGCACGGAGGGGGATCCATGAGAGGCACGGAGGGGGATCCATGAGAGGCACGGAGGGGGATCCATGAGAGGCACGGAGGGGGATCCATGAGAGGCACGGAGGGGGATCCATGAGAGGCACGGAGGGGGATCCATGAGAGGCACGGAGGGGGATCCATGAGAGGCACGGAGGGGGATCCATGAGAGGCACGGAGGGGGATCCATGAGAGGCATGGAGGGGGATCCATGAGAGGCACGGAGGGGGATCCATGAGAGGCACGGAGGGGGGAGGGAGAACGTTGCTGGAGATGCTTCCTTTGGGCTGTGAGAAATCTGCCTGGAATCCAAATTTAACCTTAAGCTTTGAAGTCCACGCAGACAATGGGTAAAAGAGTGTGGCTTTAGAAATGAAAGAAGTAAGCGAGTTAAACAGCAAAAATGAATAAATGTTTAAGTAGATATAAGTGTAGTGTGGATGGAGGTATAGATACATAGACATCAATCAACATAGATCTAATACCAGTGTAGGCAAGATGGAGACACAGATATAGATACAGATATAGAGACAGCTAGATATTGATATATAGATACAGACATATATATATAGACTTACTAGTAGGTATAGATACATAGTTTATAGAAATAGATGTAGATGTAGGTATAGATATAGATATGTAGACATAGATATATTCTTACTAATAGATATAGATATACAGTTTATAGAAATAGATACAGATGTAGGTATAGATATAGACATAGATATAGATATAGATGTAGGTATAGATAGATATAGATAGATATAGATATAGACATAGATACAGATTTATAGTGAGGGAGAGAGGCAGGAGCACACGTGACGAGTTTGACCATGGCCTGCATGCAGAAATGGTCGCTGGGCCCTTCAGCAGAGCATCTGGAATGACGGATGAGAGAACCTCCCCATGTGCGTTCAACAGATGCCCTAGAGGAAATCTTAGTTTGGACCGCCCAGCACATACCCCACACCTGCGGGAAGGCACAGGGTATGTGCCTCACACACATGCTCGCCCAGCAACAGTGCCCACAGAGCATCCTTTCTGGATCCCCAGAGCGAAGTCAGTGAAATGAACTATGAACAGGTTCTTTTGTCAAAAAAACGTCTCCATGTCATGGCATTCATCATGTGGCTCTTTTTATTCTTAACTTTCTTCAAGGCTGACCCTTTCCCAAGCCTGCTGGGGGCGGGGGCGGCCCAGCATTGTACACACGTATCTCTCCAACCTCAAGGAGAGGTCAGATGTGAGTCTACATGATACTTATGTGATCAAATCCCCAAATTATTTTGTCAAAAACGACAAGTTCAGACATCTCAAAAAAAAACCACCCAAAACAAACCTAAAAGGAAACCCGTGGGGCAGCCCTGTGCCCTTCATGAGCTCCGGTCCTGGCACAAAGGGCCTCTCCCGGGTCCCCGCTATGCGCCTGTGCAGTGGGGAGAGGCAGCTGTGCCATGAGCCGCCGCGGGTCAGGCGGAGATCTGACGCGGGAACGTCGAAGCCCAGGCAGCCCCCAGGTGCCCAGGTCTCTCGGGGAATTGGAAGTTGAGTCCATTTCTTCTCACTTCCCTTTATCTATTCAATAGTCACATCCTACACAATCTACGCCTCCTTTCCTTACGTTGTGCCGAATTTTCCAGTCTACGTGCACATGCATAAACACAGTTTATCTGACAAATACGCAGTAAAACAAGAAATCCACTTTTGCTCGTAGCACTAATCACTTGAAGACCATTATTCTTCTAAAATGTGTAAAAACATAAACAGTAGCAGCGAAACCATGCGGGATCTGTCCGCTGACTTACGCAGACACTCACACCCTTTCTCCCCCCACGTCTGCATCCTGTGAGTGACCGCCGGTCGGAGACAGACGCCGTGTCCCTACCTTTTCCGTGGGACACTTCGATGGTCCAGGTGCAGTTGAGGGAGTTTGGGTAAAAGTCTGGAAAGCCCGGAGACAGGACGG